TAGGGTCGCGGGTCCCAAGAACAGAGCCCAGAGGCCTGGGGATGTCGTGGGGGGGTGCTGGCCAGGTGGGGGCCAGGTGGGGGGTATGGGTCGTTTTTGGGAGAGAAATCGTAGGGTCGGGGGTCCAAGAACAGAGCCCAGAGGCCTGGGGATGTCGTGGGGGGGGTGGTGGCCAGGTGTGGGCCAGGTGGGGGGTATGGGTTGTTTTGGGGCGACAAATCGTAGGGTCCGGGGTCCCAAGAACAGAGCCCAGAGGCCTGGGGATGTCGTGGGGGGGTGGTGGCCAGGTGGGGGCGAGGTGGGGGGTATGGGTTGTTTTGTGGCGACAAATCGTAGGGTCCGGGGTTCCAAGAACAGAGCCCAGAGGCCTGGGGATGTCGTGGGGGGGTGGTGGCTAGGTGTGGGCCAGGTTGGGGGTATGGGTCGTTTTTGGCGCGAGAAAACGTAGGGTCGGGGGTCCCAAGAACAGAGCCCAGAGGCCTGGGGATGTCGTGAGGAGGTGGTGGCCAGGTGGGGGCCAGGTGGGGGGTATGGGTCGTTTTTGGGCGACAAATCGTAGGGCCCGGGGGTCCCAAGAACACAGCCCAGAGGCCTGGGGATGTCGTGGGGGGGTGGTGGCCAGGTGTGGGCCAGGTGGGGGGCAGGTGAGGGGCGTTGGTCGTTTTTGAGCGAGAAGTCGTGGGGTTGGGGGTCCCAAGAACAGAGCCCAGAGGCCTGGGGGGGAGGGGGGCGTTGGTCGTTTTTGGGCGAGAAATCGTGGGGTCGGGGGTCCCAAGAACAGAGCCCAGAGGCTTGGGGGTGTCGGGGCCAGGTGGGGGCCAGGTGGGGGGCGTTGGTCGTTATTGGGCGAGAAATCGTGGCGTCAAGGGTCCCAAGAACAGAGCTCAGAGGCCTGGGAGTGTCGGGGCCAGGTGGGGGCCAGGTGAGGGGGGGGGGGGTGGCGTTGGTCGTTTTTGAGCGAGAACTCGTGGGGTCGGGGTTCCGAAGAACAGAGCCCAGAGGCTTGGGAGTGTCGGGGCCAGGTTGGGCCAGGTGCGGGGCCTTGGTCGTTGTTGGGCGAGAAATCGTGGGGTCGGGGACCCCAAGAACAGAGCCCAGAGGCTTGGGGGTGTCGGGGCCAGGTGGGGGCCAGGTGGGGGGCGTTGGTCGTTTTTGGGCGAGAAATCGTGGGGTGGGGGAGTCCCAAGAACAGAGCCCAGAGCCTTGGGGGTGTCGGGGCCAGGTGGAGGGGGGGGGGGACGTTGGTCGTTTTTGGGCGAGAAATCGTGGGGTCGGGGGTTCCAAGAACAGAGCCCAGAGGCTTGAGGGTGTCGGGGCCAGGTGGGGGCCGGGTGGGGGGAGGGGGGGGGGCGTGGGTCGTGTTTGGGCGAGACATCGTGGGTTCGGGGGTCGGGGGCGTGGTGGGGAGTGCGGTTGGGGGTATCGGTCGGTTTTGGGCGAGAAGTGGTGTGGTGGGGGAAGGGGGGGCCCAAGAACAAAGGTTCCAAGGGAGAGAGCCAGGAGGGGGGTATCGGTCGGTGGCTGCTTGAAAGGAGAACCTCACGATGAATGGCTCTAGCACACACTCTCCCTCACACGCCTCTGGGGTCGGCGGATTTGTCTTCGGCCGAGCGAAGGCAGGCAATCATCTGGCGCTGTGCGCTTCGACATCCTGCTCCGACCCGTTGCCCCCGCCCGCTCCTCCGCCGCGTGGCTCGAGCCCACCGAAGGCGGCCAGGCGCCCTCGAGAGTGCGCGCCTGCCCCCCCGTGCTGGTGGAGGAGGGCTGGGGCGCCCCGCGCCGGGGCGGCGGAGGGCGGGAGATCGGCGGCGCGCACAAGAGGAGGGGGGCTGCGGGGCCTCGAAGGCTCGGGTCGGACGACCCCCCGAGAGGTGGGGGGGGACGACGGAGGGGGCGCCGAAGTCTGCCTGGGGGGGGGGGGCTGCGGAATGTATCGGGCGCCGCGGCCGTGTCAGAGCGTTTTTAAACGTCCTGAGAGTGTTCTGGCACGCTCTGCAACGATTTGTCCTCACGTATACGGTATACGCCTTTCTGACAGCGTATGCAGCGGAACGCCGATTGCTCGCAGCAGGGCCTTCTAAGCGGCGGCCGTGCGCAAAATAGCTCCGTGGGTGTCAGAATGAAACGTAGCACCTCTCGCCAGTAAAGGGCAAACCGTGGCGGGTCCAGCTAGCGCCAGAGATCCAGAGACCACCGCCGCTGAACTGCCCCAGGCAGGTGAGGTACGACGCGCCATTGTTAATTTTGTCCACGTTCATTTTGGCCACGCGATTGTGCAAAATGTTGCCGTTTCGTCTGGGTGTCAGCGAGAAAACCAAGCGAACGCCGCTTTCGTGAATCGTGGCGCGAGGCGGGAATTCAGGGATACGGCGCCGCCCGCCGAGTAGTTCCAAGCCATGCCGAGCTGGATACGATGGGCGCGTTGCCCGCGAAGCGCCGTTGGGTACGGCTGGCGCACAAAGGGCAGGCTGACGGAGCGAAGGACACGCAAGAAGTGTGCGTGGGCAGTGATGGTCTCTATAGACATGTCTTGGCTGACTGCCGTCCGAAGCGGCGCGCCTGTCGTTGTTGTCATGTTGCTTTTCTGCTGGAGACGCGCTGGTGTTATGTAGCAGCGAGTGTGTCAGCAGACGGGCTCGTGCACCGCAAAGCAATGCAATGCAATGCAATGTAATGGCAAGCGCGGAGCAGCAGTTCGAAACAATGCCATTCCATGTAAAGCAACGCATTGCAATGCAAAGCAACGCACAGCAGCGCAATGTGACGAGAACCATGCAACGCAATGCCCAGCCACGCAAAGCAAGAGGGAGGAGGAGAGAAAGGGAGAGTGCAAAGCACAGCAATCCTAAACACGGCGTAGCAATGCAAACCAACGCAAGTCAACGCGTAGCACCGCGTAGCAATGTAAATCAATGTATCTAATGCAATGCAGCGCATGGCACGGCGTAGCAGTGCAAAGCAATGCAACGCAACGCAACCCAACGCCAAGCACAACATTGCAATTCAAAGTCATGCAATTTGCAATGCGCAGGGATGCAAAGCCATGCAAGCAGCTCACCGCAATGCACAACAAGGCCCAGATGATGGGCGGCGACGAGGCGGCGGCGAGGCGGCGACGGCGACTACATAGCCGCCAGAGCGGCACACCAGTCCCGGCCACGGGCGGCAACGGGGCCGCGACGGCGACGACATAGCCACCAGAGTGGCACAGCAGCCCAGACGACGGGCGGCGACGGGGCCGCCAGTGCGGCACACCAACCCAATTCCTTATAACATCTGACAGATTGTTTACGCTTCGCGAATCCCCGCCAGCCCACTCGGAAACCCTACCCACGAGAGTTGACTGGAAATGGGAAGCAGAGACGCATACAGTGAAACAGAGCGGTCAAAAAGAGGAGGGGGAAGCACGTGTTGACCCATGTTGGAGGTTATCTTGGAGCATCGGAGGCCTCATTGGATCTATGGGGTTTTTTCGGGGGCGTCTTGGGGTCCTTTTGGGGCTCTTTTGGGGCGTCTTGGGGCCCTCTTGGAGCTCCTCTTGGGGCCATCTTGGGGCCCCAAGAGGGGCTCTCCTGGGAGCTTCGGAGAGCCTCCTGGGCCAGCTTGGAGGCCATCGATCAAAGGAGGGGGTCCTAGATTGTCGTCCCCCCTCCGGAGCCATCGGAATAGCCTCTTGGGGCGCTCTTGGGCCCTTCTTGGAACTCGCTTGGGCCATCTCGGGGCCATCTTGAGGCCTCAAAAGCGCATCGGAAGCGAAAAGGCGACAAGGTCAAAATCATGGGTTGTTCTCAGGTTTTTGTACGATTTTGGCCTCTCAGGGAGGTCCTGAGGGGTCTCCAAAAGCACTTGGATCCGTCTTGTGGCCTTCTTGGGACCTCTCGGATGCATGTTATCAGCTATCCTGAACGATCTTGGAGGCCATATTGGGCGCTCTGAGGCCCTCTTGGAGCCATCTCAGGCTATCTTGGACGCCCTGGCCGCTCGCGACCCCCCCCCGTCCAGGTCCAGAGGAGGGGTAGGGGGAGGGGTAAACCCCTCCCCGAAGGGGAAGGGGGGCTTTTGGAAGAGGCAAGAAAGATCTCGTTAGACCGCCTGTCGCCCAGAGGGCTGTCGGGATCAAGAACCCCTAAATGCAAGCACCGCTCTTGGGACCTAAGGTGATAATCACACTGCAAGATAAGCTGGGTAAACGCATGTGCGACGTACACAGGGCCGCCGGCATTGCCGTGGGAACATGCAGCATTGCCGCTGGGCTGTCTTGGAGGCCATGCTCGTCGCCGTCCTCCCCCTCCATGCTCCTGCTCGGAGCTCCTGCCCATACTCCTGCGCATCCTCCCCGTCCTCCGCTGCTCTCTGGGTGTCGCCCATACTTTCGCACCGTTTGGGGGCCTCTGGGCCCTCCATGGGCCTGTGAGGCTCACGAGTTGGGGGGAGCTCTGGAGGTCGCGGAGGGACCTTCCCGGAAGTCCTGGCGGGTTGCCAGTATACCTTCGTTGACACACAGAGCCCGAAGAGGCCCCCCAAAGTCCATTGCAGAGCCCCTGAAGAACTCCCCCAGATCCCGTTTTCCCCCAGCCCCCTGCAATTCCGCCCGTGCCTGGGGCAGGCTCGGGCACACGGCCTGGTGCGCCCCGTTGCCCACAGCCCCGCGGTGGCGTAAGAGGATTCTGGCGTCCAGGCCACCCTGGCCCCTGGGGATTGATGGCAGCTCGCGTCGCAGCTCACTCTTGGCTTTGCCCACCGCCAGCCGCCACCCCCACCGCCCACCACTTCCCTTGCACAGCGGCACCCCTACTCCCATCTCTCCCCCCTCCCCCTCCTGTCCACCTCTTCTCTCACCCGCCGCTTCTCCCGTTTTGTGGGGGGGTCCGCCCGCTGTCGCGCTTGATATGGCGTTCCCAGATATTTGTCTTCAGCCGAGCGAAGGCAGGCAATCATCTGGCGCTGTGCGCTTCGACATCCTGCTCCGACCCGTTGCCCCCGCCCGCTCCTCCGCCGCGTGGCTCGAGCCCACCGAAGGCGGCCAGGCGCCCTCGAGAGTGCGCGCCTGCCCCCCCGTGCTGGTGGAGGAGGGCTGGGGCGCCCCGCGCCGGGGCGGCGGAGGGCGGGAGATCGGCGGCGCGCACAAGAGGAGGGGGGCTGCGGGGCCTCGAAGGCTCGGGTCGGACGACCCCCCGAGAGGTGGGGGGGGACGACGGAGGGGGCGCCGAAGTCTGCCTGGGGGGGGGGGGCTGCGGAATGTATCGGGCGCCGCGGCCGTGTCAGAGCGTTTTTAAACGTCCTGAGAGTGTTCTGGCACGCTCTGCAACGATTTGTCCTCACGTATACGGTATACGCCTTTCTGACAGCGAGCGCGCGGCGCGTGCGCCTGCGGCGGACGATGGAGGGGGGGACGCCGAAGTCGTGCTGCATGCAGCTGGTTTCGGCTCCGCCGCCGGGCGCTTTCCTCGAGTTCCATGGCCACCTCTGGCGCCGAAGTGCGCCGGGAAAACCGGCTCCGTGCAGATGATTCGTGAACCCCCTCCTTTGGGTTCCCCCTTTTGGTTCCCCCCTGATTCTAAGACGCCCCCAGCCTTGTTGGATGGCCCCAACCCCCTTCTGCGCGCCGCCAGAGGGATGCCCAACAAGGAGCCGCTCGACGAGGCGACATTTTTGGCCAGGCCCGCGTCCGCGGATTTCCCTCCCCGGTCCTGGAGGATTGAGGAGTTCGGGATGTCTTTGGCCCTTGTTTCGGGTTTCCCGGGACGTCTTCTTATGGGGTGACGAGATCTATACGTATCCATTGGCCCTGGCCAGGCCCATCCTGGGTCCAAGCCAGGTCAAGCTAGACGGGCGTTTACACCGCTTCTGGTCCCATAGGATGGGTTTGGCCAGGGGCAGTGGACATGTATAGACCTCGTCGCCCTGATTCTCTCAGGGACGTCCAGAGGCCTCCGATCTCCACTGGCGAGCGAGCGCGCGCGCGGCGCACTGGGCAGCTCCACTGGCACGCTGTCGTCGTTAGCGGCGGGTCAGCGGTTGCGCGACATGGTGTTCTGCCGAAGGGTGTTTTGTCCACCCCCGAACGGTGCACCTGTCTTCATCCCCCGTGTGCTGCCCTCCCCATGAATCAACCTCCGAAGAGAACCGCAGACCTCGGCATGATGAGCGGTCCCGATGTGTGGCGAGAGTCGAGAAGCGCAGACATGGAGATTAGCGACCAGTCTGGTTTCGATATGAATTCTCGACGCTTCGCCATCCCAATGGACTGCCTCCACGTGCCCACCAGTTACCCACTAACCCACGACCCAGTGGACTTCATCTCGCCTGGTGGCACACGGTTCAGAGATTCGTCCCGCCCACGTGGACTGCACTGAAGCATGGCAGTGGCAGACACGGGTTGACGACGACGACGCAGACACCGTGAGGGCGAAGGCCATCTCGCCCCTCGACACTCTGCCCACGCAGTCGTGGCCCAACCCGGACGCTGCGTTCGCCCCCAGCAGCGGACAGCCCCAGCCGCGCACCCGGACAGTAAGGCTTGTCGACGAGGACGACACCTCCTCCGCCCCCAACCCTTGCAGCAGGAGCGTGGTCGAGTCCCCAGCCCTCACGGCCGCGTACGACAGCCACAGCCAGGCCCGTCTACAGGCAACTGTCCCGTTGGGGCACGTTCACGACGCCGTTCCGCTCCCGTCACAGTGGCCCTTCGCCTTGCGCGACCGAGGCCTCACCCTGAGGCGGATGGCCTGGATCGAGGGACGGGAATCCCTGGAAACCGCGTACGACCGAAACCCCAAGATCAGGACGAGCTCACGAAGCAAGGCAACGTGGCCCTCGCAGTGCAGATCACCAAACTCAATCACAACAGTGACTGCCATGACCTGGATCGCTTCGACCTGAGGCGCAGCCTGTGGGCGGGAGAGAACAAAGAGCTCCTCCTCCTCCTCGAGTGGCCGATCAGATACCGCATCAGCATGAAAAGGGAAGGAGGTTCGCAGGACGCCAAGAACCTACTGATATCGGTATCGGGGCCCACAGTCGACCAAGTCGCCGAGGTCTCGATCAAGTGGCCACCCGCCCTGGGAGGCAACGTCCCGCAAAGAGAATGCGAGAACCTGAGAATCCCAACGAGCACCGGGTACCCGTCCAATAGGTGCATCGCGGTCTACAACTACGGGAAGTTCGGCCCCTTCCACAGAGACACCTCGAAGGCCCCACCCCCAGACAGGGAAGGCGACGCCCACTACAGGGTCGACCGTGCCCCATCCGAGGTGCAGTACTGGAGGCAAGCCAATGCCATCAACGAGATCTACCTCCTGAACCAAAACCCCCAGCAGCTCTTCGGGATACCGCTCAACAGCATCGCCTTCATTATGGCCTTCCGCAGCGCGTCCAAAGACGACAGGGCCGCCGCCAACGACGTCACGAGGACAGGCAGGGTCGGCCACGTTCTCAGGGCCAGAGCGTCAGCCACGCTCAACATCCCCGTCCCCGACGCCGACATTCTGGCCCTACGCATGTCGGACAAGCCCTACTTCCCGGCCCCACCTCCCATGGAGGTCACCCCTTTTACCGACGACGAGGTGACTTTGGCCGTGGGCCACGTCTTCCAAAGGGCCAAAGCGAGACCCTCGACAGACACCTTGGAAGTTGGTGCAACCAGAGACGGTCTCAACCCCCACGCCAGACGAGCCCTATTGGCGACAGTTGCGCACCACATCACCGTTGTCCACGGCCCGACCGGAACGGGCAACACCAGACTGTCCACGGCCACGCTGGACATCTGGGGGGCACACTCATGAACGGACAAACGGCGCGCCCGCGGGCGGTCCAACACACGTTCGGCCCGTCTGCGGCTGAGGGCGCCAGGCGCGGGTGCCCATGATGCCGCGGGGCGGGCCAGCAAGGTGCCGCCTGATGACGGGCGCAACTGCGGTTTGTGGGCGCCCGCGGCCGCGCTGGCGGGCCGAAAGTGTTCTCGCCGCTTTATCAGTTGACGTCAATTCGGTCAGTCAGCCGGCCATGGAATTTCACTTGGCCCCGCCGGGAAAGAGAAGGGACGTTTTTGATTTGAGACCGTCGTCTGCCACAGCCTGACGTTTCAAAGCGCCAGGTGCGCGCAACAAACAAATATAAAGGAATGGGGGAGGGGGGAGGGACAAGCTAGGTGCGCTCGCGTCATATGTGACATCCTACCCCTCCCTCCCATCTCTTACCATGGCGCAGATCCCCTCTCTACTCGCACAGTCGGATGTCAAGCAGGGCGATGATCCCGAAAGGGTACGCGATGCATTGTAGAGCACGGCATGGCATGGCGTAGAAGAGCACCGCGAAGCGTAGTATCAACCTAGGATTGCATTGCATGCCGTGGCATTGCACGGGAAATGACGCCAGCGCTGCAGCGGGAGCACGACTCGAAACGAACGGAAGCGCGGAAATGAGGCCAGCGCTGCAGCGGGAGCACGATTCGGAACGAGCGGAAGCACGGAAATGAGGCCAGCGCTGCAGCGAGAGCACGATTCGGAACGCGCGGGGCCCGAAAATGAGGCCGGCGCCTCAGCGAGAGCTTGGGAAACATCGCAAGCGAAAACCTAACTCCGGGGAAGGCTTCCCGGGCGCCAGAAGCAGAAATTCAGCATTTTCAAAAGAAAAATGTGTATTGGAATGGCCTTTTTTCGGCGCCGCCTCGGGACTCGCTTTTCCGGCGCCGGCCCGAACCGGCCGGGCGCCGGCTCGGGCGTCCGGCCCGGGCGCCGGCTCGGGCGCCGGCCTGGTCGTCGGAATCGGCCCGGGAGGCTTCCCGGGCGCCGGAAGCAGAAATTCTTCGTTTTTAAAAGAAAAATGTGTATTGGGATGTTTTTTTTCGGCGCCGCCTCGGAACTCGATTTTCCGGCGCCAGCCGGACCCGGCTCCGGACCCGGCCCGAGCGCCGGCCCGGGCGCCGGCTCGGGCGTGCAGCCCGGGCGCCGGCGGAAATGATGCCAGCGCTGCAGCGGGAGCACGATTCGGAACGAGCGGCGCCCGAAAATGAGGCCGGCGCGTCAGCGAGAGCAGTATTTTGGAAAAAAATGCACGCGAAAACCCAACTTCGGGGAAACCTGTGTGTAAAAAACAATACGCGGGGGGGGGGGCGAACATTCCTAAAACGTCACCAGGGTAAGACGGAGAGTAGTATTCATATTGAGTAACTGTTGAGGAGGAGGATGCGGATGGCGAGAAGGCCCCCGTTCTCCTCTGCCTAACCTGCTCCTGCTCCTGCTCCTGACCGCCGCTGATCCTACCTGCCGGTGCCGTTCTAGATCTTCCCGAGTCTACTCTTGCTGCTGCTCGCTCTCGCCGCTCTCGCTCTGGCCCCCCTTCCTCGTCGTCCTCGTCGCCCCCCTCTTTCCTCCCTGCGCAGGCTGGGCACCCTGTTTGAGACGAACCGCGACGAGAAGGATGTGGTGTGGTTGCAGATGAAGCGGTGCGCCTGGCCACCTCTCTCCCAGGGCCCCGAGGGGGCCGACACCTACGCCTAGGAAGCCTAGAGGAGGGACATGCTGGGGGAGGAGGACGAGGAGTCAATGAGGACGGGAGAAAATGATGCGGGGGGATAGTGAGGAGCAAAAAAAAGAGGCGGTTACATACATGTCCAGGGAACCCAAACAATTCTTGACGCTTCGCGTATCCCCTCCAGGTGGTTCCCCCTTGCACTGTGGGGTGGTCTGACGGGTGTTGGTATCGCCACGGAGTGGTTCAGCCTTCCGCAGCAGCTTCAGCACCCCAGGCTCACCTACCAGCTTCCGGCAGGTTGCGTTGCACCATTTTCCGCGATAGCTCAGCCGCCCTGGCTAGCACACGTCGTCTATAGGGCGTTTGGAGCCTGGCGCCCCACCGGCGACTTCACTCCACCGGCATTCCACCTGCCCCCACTCAGATTGACGGACTTGGTTATCCTGGTTCACGTCTCATACTGTGACAGGCGCCGAATTCCATGACATTTTGTCTGTGCACGCGTTCGACCTCTCAGGATACCCCTGCCGTCAGCTCCCCTTCAGCTTCGCGGCTGCTTTGTGAGCGGGCCGGCCGGCCGGCCCGTGCCTGTTGTAGCTAATTCGCCTCGTTCGTGCCCCGGACTTTGTTTTCGCCGCCTGACCCTTGTCTCGTGGCCGCGACCCAAAAAATATCCCCACCAGGCACAGGGACGGCGCGTCGATAGAAGACCTTCCTGATTTGGTGCAGCCATCATGCTGGACGAACTAGCCGAGGCGGTGCGAAGGCTCGGCCCCGAGTTGGACTGTCGGCGGGCCCAACCAGTTTCCCTCAGAAGTCCTCACACGTACGTGACTGTCGGGGACATGAGGAAGATCCACGCCTGCATACAGGAAAGACGGAACATGTTAAGAAGCGAAGGCACCGGCATGGACGTTGACGAGCCCCCCGCGTGCCCGGGAAAATGTGGAGACCGCACAGATCCGTCAGACCGTACCGATTCCGCCCCATTTCAGTCAGACCCACAGCCGCCCCCAAGTCGACAAGACAAAATCAGACAGACCCCGCTGATTACTCACGGGCGCTGGGCACTCCTACTAGGCCGCTGCTCGCCAGACGACGAACCGAAGGCACGTGGTCCCCCCACGTTTCCAACCGCCCTTCTCGCCGCGGCAGTGAGGGACATCGCCGCAGACCTGGTCGTCTCCTGACGGCCGTACGTGGGGGACATAGCAGCGGACGAGACGGAAGTCACCTACACGCTGGCCGGCCCCAGCGCGTGGGAGCAGATCAAAACTTTGGTGAGCGAGCGGGCCTCGGCCGCAGGCAACACGGCCGCGTGGATTCCCATCATAATCCTGGCCGACACACAGGCGTCCCAGACGGAAGCCGCTTGGGCAGCAGCCTCAGCGGAAGGAGACCCTGCAAGATCCCAGCACTCGGTACGGACGGGGTTCCAAGCCCTGGCGGCCCAGACCCAGTAGAACTCGCAGCCATGGCCAACGCAAGGTGGGGCTACAGAACGGCCGGCAGGATCACACACCTCGTGCCAATCGGTAACCCGTGCAAAACAGGACGCGCGAGCCCTCCAATGCAACAGCAAATGCAAAAGGACGAACTGCTGCTCAGTCAAGACCTGGAACAGCTCTTCCACCACGTGCTCCGCTGCAGACCAGCGCGCCCATCAACCAGCGCCGAAGGACTCGGGGCACCGCCTGACAATCTGCAGGCCGCTGCCCAAGCAACCGCGATGCACCGTGCCACGGCATGCACCTGGAGGATGCATGAAACCAGTGATTCGTACATATTCCCGTCCCAAACAAGGCAATATGCCCGGCATGCGATCTCGCCTCCGCGGCAGCGAGTGCCCTCGGGCACCGAGTCGGGCTTTGCGGCGCCGGGCTCCTCCTACTCAGGATGCCCGAGCGCGCAGCTGTCCCAGTCTTGCGACACCTGCGCGACGAGTTGCCGCGCGTCCTGGGACGCGACAGCCCGAACCAAGCCTTTGCTCCCGGATGAATATTCCTAGAAGGCAACTGGGACGGAGGGCCCTCCTTCGTCCGCCTGGCAGACCCGGGGGATGGCTTTCACCGGAGGTGGAACCTTGCCGACATGGGACAGACCCGCCCCGAAGACGTGCGCGAAACCATCGAGGCCACCGCTGGCCCCGGCACCGTGGGGCAGGCGAGCAAGCGTCGACGGCGTGCGCCCGGTTCCCAGACGTGTCAGACTACAGGCGCGTGACTCAGGTCAGAATACGTCCGGCAGCGGCGGATGCACTGGCAGCCGCCTTCGCGGGAACCAGCCGAGTGATGATCGGGGCGCAGACCATCAGGATCTCCCCGGCAACCCCCTTCCAGGGATCCCAGCCACCGCAGCGCGGGGACCCCGAGAGAGCATCAGGAACACCTGGGCGCCCCGGCGCGCGACGCGATCAGACAGGCACCCAGGCGCGCGGCGCGCCCGCAAATACTGGAGGTCACGACGAGAGACCGCCACGGTGTGCAGATTGGCAGTACCCAGAGCCATGAGGGCCGACTCCTGGCTCCCCGGCCACAGCGCTTTCAGACTCTACTCGGCCACGGTTGGATCCGCAGGAGTGCAACTCCTCGTGAGACTCTGGCCCTTGCCCCCAAGACCAAACGGCGCTTCGCTTCCGGCGAACACTCGAGCAGCGCCTCCTGCTCTGACCGAAGACTGGCTGCGAGACAACGCCGGAGCCATCTACAGGGGCGCCCCCGACGCCAACCGTCGCAGGGAAGAGCGACAAGATGGCCTGAGGGACGACGAGACCACAATCCACCCAGGGGAATAATTGGTCGCAGCCTTAGCGGCGGGCGGGGCCATCGAGGTCATCGCGAGTGGTGAATCAGGTTTCCCATTTACCAGCACGCCTACATGGGTCGCGATCTTGCCCCTGGCGGACTCAGACATACGGGCAGCCAGCAGAGGGGCTGACAGGCCGCAGGCGCGAGCGAAGCTGCGACTTGCCACGGGGGCAGTTCACGCCGCGCGCCTGAACGCGGCTCCGGCAGCAGCCCCCTCCCCTGCCACGGCAGGCCTACGCGCCAGCCCGCCAGGGCAACGATAGATTCCACGGCGCACAACGGCGGCCCTGAACCCGCAGCTGGGGCCAGCTAGACCCGTTCAATTCCCGGACCTCGCCGAAGTCCTGGTGAGAACCTGCCGCGCCCCACAAGGGCACGATGGCTCCCTGGTAAGCGCGGGCGACGACGCCTTGCGGGCAGCTCAGGGGATGCCGGGCAGTGTGCGCCAGAGCAGACGGTGCGCGACTTCGCCGGAGGATTGCAGGCCAGGGCAACCCTAGAGCTCCGCAGGCAGCTCGATGGGCGGCCGCTGCAAAGGTACAGCTGGGACATGTTCGCCGCCGCATGGATCCTGCAGCTCGCCAGCCCAAGACAGCTCGACCGGGGCCGCTTCTTTCAGTTGTTTCAAGAGATGGGCACTGGGCATCAGGGAGGAAGCCATGAGACAACTCCCTTTCACCCGATGGCTCGCCCCAGAGCCAGACCCGACCTACACGGCCCATCGCGCCTGGTTGGATGCCCCTGGCCCCAGGGGTGCAGACGTCGACGCGCCCACCAGCCGCGCCATGGAAAACGGTACCCTGGGCAGGCTAGAGCGGCTATCCGCCAGATTAGGCGATCTTCGCTGGGGCGACAGACAGAGGCAGGACTCTGGACGGGCGCCGAGGCGCAGAAGAGGCAGAAACCCGCGGGGGGCCGGGGCGGCCCAGCCGGCCGCGCCGGAAGATACCAGCGGCAATAGAAGCAGGAGCCGTGGAATCGCGCCCCCGCTCGCTCCAGCAGTCGGCGCGGCACCGAACGGCGCGGGCGACGCTGCGCGCGCCACCGCAGATAGCGCGGACGCCCCCGCGGCCGGTGCAAGGGGCACCCAGGCAGCCGCCCCCGCAGCCAGGGGCCACGACGAAGGAGGCGCACGACCCGCCGCGGTCGCGGCTGCACTGGCACCGGGCCAGCGGACACGGCAGCCAGGACGAAGGCTCAGGTGCGCCCCGCCCCACCAACAGTCACGATAGTGCGAGCTCTGGACGAGCGATCCCCCCCCCGGAGGCCCCCGACAGGCACCAGAGCAACCCAGTCCTGCCGACAGCGGGCAAGATGCCCCTTCAGGGCCAGCCAATCAGACGAGGGACGAGACAGGTGCCCCGACAGGTACTCCAGGCACCCCACCAGCGCCCACTGCACGGCCAGCGCCGGACACCGCACCGAGAACGGAAAGCGATCCCCTAGGGCGAGGCGACACGCCCAGGGGAGGCGCAAGCCTGCCGCCCTGCATGGAGGTCGATTGGGCGCGCGCCCAGAACGCTCTAGACGCCTCCCTGCGGGCGGTGGCGCGGACCAGACAGGTGGGCCCGAGCGCCCTTAACGGGGCGAAGCCCTCAGTGCCATCGCCTGGGACACCGCCGCGCCGCAGCTAGATAGACGGCTGCGAAGGCTCTTCGAACATCGCGGCGTGCCCGACAGGATCTCGCGCGCCTTCAGCGCGTGCTGGGACGCCCAGCCGCTCCCCGGCACGCGCAGCGCAGCTGGCAGAAGGATGCTGCCCAGGACCGCGGCCCTCACCGCAGACGCGGCGCGCGCCGGCAGAGCCTGGCGGACAATGCAGCGGCGACTGCGCCAGGACACGACTTCGCACGGCAAACGAGGGGCGATGTCCCAGGTCAACCCTTCAGCGTCTGGCCGCCAACGCAGTCTCCGCCGTGCCCCGCCTGGGAGCAGAACCCCCCTACACCGCCGAAAGTACGCGCAGCCAAAAGCAGAAGTGGAAGCCCCCCGGCTAAACCTGCACGGCAGTCCAGCGGGAGTAGGCAGAAGCTTGGACGCGAGCGAGACCCAAGGCGAGCGCGGCACGAGCGGCCGAACGCCGGACAGAGGCCCTGGAACCGCGCCGGAAGGCGACCCTGCCGATAGCACTTCTCAAGGCGCGCAGCATGCGCACAGGCAAGGG